GTGTCACTTCTCTCCCTCGTTTCTCAGCAAAAGTGACACCTTTGGAATGTTTATGAACATCATCCAATTCTACTTCAACTGCATCCACAGCCACCTCCATTTCATTATCATTCCTTATTGTCATCTTGTTGGGTGAACTAGAATCATGTTGTTGTTGTATATGATGATTATTCATAGCACTCGACATTGTCTCCTCATCCAGCGACGAATTACTTGTAGTACTTCCATTATTTGGCTCCATTGGCAGCAACAGTGTTGTTGTTTGTTTTTTTCTTCTTGGTTTTCATGATCGCTCAATGATGATGATTGATAACAAATTGGCACAAAATAGTTGTTCGTCCTTCCTAGTTGAGTTTTTTGAGGTTTTATCAGTGGGTTTCATTTTTTTATGAGGATGTAGAAAGAGCGGGAAAATTTGTTTGTTGCTTATTGGGGAGGATTAGTTGACCTATTAGAAGAATGTTCTGAAATGATGGTAATGGGATTGAGTTTTTTCATTGCACAACAAATTAATAGTATGAAGTTCACCCGTTTTGTGCTGCACAGCTTATCATTGGCTTTCTGAAAAATGTCAAATGATGTTAAGTCCACACCAGTATGCGATACTGGGGTCCGAGCCATACCAAATCATACCACTAGCTTGCTGTGCGTGGAATTACAATGCATCTATTGTAGTGGAATATTGTCGAAAAGTTGAAAATTTGTTTGAAAATGAAAAATGATTGAACAATTTTTTGTAAACCACTACAGAAATACCCAATTAATAGGCATTCGTAATAAAAATCTAGTATTTGTCATTGATTTTTACATGACACAATAGTGTCAACGGAAGGGAATTATTAACTCCGAATTTTAAACATCCCTCCGATAAAGAAAAAAACTGTAAAAAAAATGCATCAACACGGAAAGCTCAGACGGGTGGTTATTTTGTTCACCTTCACTCTCATCATGATGTTGGTCATGGGACAAGAAACAGCCAAGACCAAACTCTTCAAGAATATGATTTCCCGAACTCAAAATAATCAAAATTATAAAGGAAGTACTAAAATCGGAAGTGTTCAAGATGGAGTTTGGACCAATGTTTTCCAATTATTTGGATTCCGTTCAGCAAATAATCAAACAGATACTGATAATAATCCAAAATTTATTTCATTATTCTATGATGGAATTCATCAGAGAATGAGAATGGATGGAGCTGGTTTGGGAGGCCCTGCAGCTCAACTCTCTTCCACATCAGTTTTGTTTGAAATTTTGAGATATTATATGAATGTTGTGAGTGTTGATTTTTGTATCTTTGAACATTTGCATCCTAATTCTACTGCTTATGGAGCTAGAGTTTTCCCATTCAGTGGAAAGGGTACTGTGGCTGAAGGAGGATTCACTGTTGCCAAATATTCTGGAGCTAAATTGATTCAAAGTAATGCTATTCTTGAACCATCCAATTTGATTAATGGAATGCAAAAGAGAGTTTGTAATGTCTATAATTTGGATGGAAAGTCTGATCTTGCTATTGGTCTTGGATTTTACTTGTTCAATTATCAAGGACCTACCTATGTTGACATGACTTATTATGAAGATGCCAAGACAGGACAACCAGTAAGATTTGAAATGAAAGATTTGGGAGGTTTTAAGGGAATTACCTCTTGGGATGTATTGAATTTCCAATTCTTTAGTGATAAGGATGATTCTGCTAATGTATTTTCCAAAGATTTATTCTACTGGAATGCCAAACCAACTTGTCATTAATAAAATATAACCTGAATTATTTCAGATATCTTACTCTTTTATTTAAGGAATACTTTCTGCTATTACACATAATTGAAATGTTGCTCTACTAGAAGAGCTTTAGGATATTCAAGTGTAAAATTTTACTTGTATGGGGGTTTGTTTTTCATCAATTATCCAACTTGATTATCCGAAAGTTTGAATTTTCTTTAAATAGCTGAAGAATAGTAGAGATCCTCAACAATAACAACAAAAAGAATGCAAGCCTTGGTTATTGAAGATTACTGTATCCAACCAAATTTTAAACTAGTTTCGGATTTTGAAAAACCATCCAAGTTGAAAGAAAATCAAGTTTTGGTCAAGTTGAAAGCAGCTTCGGTCAACCCAGTCGATTACAAAATGAGAAACGGAGCCACAAGGAAAGCAACTCCAGTCAAATTTCCAACGACGCTATTGGTAAAATATTAGATCAAGAGGGTGAACATTCGTTTAACAATCAACCTTTGACTCCTCCATTCGAAACTTCCAAAAAGAAAGAGTTGAAAATTCTCATATTAGGTGCTTCTGGAGGAACTGGTTTGAGTGCTTGTTTGATAGCTAAACAATTCCTTTCCCTATATTTCCAAACAAAGGTTTATGCTGTTTGTTCTGAGAGAAATATTGACATTGTTACAAAAATGGGAGCAGATGTTGTCATTGACTATACAAAAACATCATCCAAACCTAGAATAGATGGTGAATCTGAAAATCTGAAGAGTATTTGTCAAACCATTAAGGAAGACCATGGAGATTCTTATGTGGATATTGTATTGGATTGTGTTGGTGGAACTGAAATGTATTATCGTGACGTTTGCAATAATTTTGAGTGTAAGAAAGCAAGAGATGGTGTTGCATTCACAACCATTTCACCAAATGTTCCATTCGAACCAAATATGGGACTTTCTTCTTTGATGAAAATTGGATATTTTGTAGTTTCTAATAAGATTAAGTCATTATCGAGTGCTTATCCATCCTTCCACTTTGTTTTCATGGATAAGAACGTAAAAGATATGAATTTACTGATGAATCATATTGTAATTTCGAATCAAGTTTACAATCAACTTCCACTGATGGAATTTGAATTTTCTGCTCAAGGATTAAACGATGCACATAAACAAATGGAATCTCAAAGAACAGTTGGTAAAATCGTTATCAAAATTCAATAAATAACATCTTTGTTCAAGTTGACTTTGTGTGTAATCTTCACAGTAACGGAATTGGATTATATTCCAAACAACTATTTCCAAATCAAGAAGGAATTGTTAAATTCGAATAATTTCATTGGCTTGAAAGTTAAAAATTGGTAATTCCAATCATTCGTTTGTAAGTAAGCGAAGGCAAGTTAATCTTTCAGTAGTTTCCCATTATTGTGAACACCAATGAACAAATTCACCTTTAATTTTAATGATGCTGAATAATTCTTACAAAAAAAAATGGAAGCAACAAGTGCACAATTAAATAATCCTTTTAGTGTTTTTGTTTCATCAAATAATGAAGTTTTTATTGCTGACTATAACAATCAAAGCATTAGAAAAGTATTACAAAATGGAAATATTGTAACAATAGCTGGAAATGGAGATAAAGGATTTAGTGGTGATAATTGTCTAGCAACAAGTGCACAATTAAATAATCCTATTGGTGTTTTTGTTTCATCAATGAAGTTTATATTTCTGACTATTGTAATCATGTAATTAGAAAGATTTTACAAAATGGAACTATTGTAACAATTGCTGGAAATGGAAAACCTGGATTCGGTGGTGATAATGGCCTAGCAACAAATGCACAGTTGAATTACCCTAGAAATGTATATGTTTCATCAAATAATGAAGTTTATATTGCTGACTTTTGTAATCAAAGAATTAGAAAAGTATTACAAAATGGAAATATTATAACAATAGCTGGAAATGGAACTAAAGGATTTAGTGGTGATAATGGTCCTGCAACAAATGCACAATTAAATGGTCCTGCAGGCGTTTTTGTTTCAAATAATGAAGTCTATATTGCTGACTATAGTAATCATGTAATTAGAAAGATTTCACAAAATGGAACTATTGTAACTATAGCTGGAAATGGAAAACCTGGATTCAGTGGTGATAATGGACTTGCAACAAATGCACAATTATATAATCCTTCAGGCACTTTTGTTTCATCAAATAATGAAGTTTATATTTCTGATTGTTTTAATCATGTAATTAGAAAGATTTCACAAAATGGAACTATTGTAACAATTGCTGGAAATGGGAAAGGAGGATTCAGTGGTGATAATGGTCCTGCAACAAATGCACAATTATATAGTCCTTTAGGTGTTTTTGTTTCCTCAGATAATGAAGTTTATATATCTGACTGTTTTAATCATAGAATTAGAAAAGTATTACATAATGGAAATATTGTAACAATAGCTGGAAAT